GTGTCAGAGGCAGTGCAGTTGGTGCAGGATAGAGCAGGGTTTAGGGCTGTTGTGCATAGGGTCGCTATGAGTCGCAAACGACTCGACGGTGCATAACAACAACAACAACTAGTTTATTTGAGAGAGAGAGATCAGCTGGCCCAGTGGACAGAAAGCGATGCTACCAAGCCAAAGGTGGGTGACTTTTAATCCGCGACCCTCGGGCCTGTCTTTCATCGTTTTTGTTCCGACATTCCTCTAGGTTGTATAGCCCTGGTGTACAAGTTGCCGTACCGCAGTTACTTGTGGTTGCTGTGAGGCTGAACACTGTGACACTGATGTGTCAAATGCGTTAATGGTTGGCTACCCAATGCGGACAGAGAGTGGGGTGGAGATTCCCGATTAAAACAAGCTTGGAAGGAGGAGGGGCTCCTCACTTTCATAATAGCTTGCCTCCGGAAACCCTATGAACCTGGAGAGAGGATGAAAGACACCCAAGCGTCGCCTGCGACTCGATGGCACTTAACAATAACAACAACAACTAGTTTATTTACAAAATTCAAATACAAATTTGAACAAATTCTTTCAATTTCCTTCACCCCTCCACCCATCAAATTGTACAATCCAATGATTAACGCCCCCTTCCCCCGCATATTCACATCCCTCTACTTCCAGCCTCTCCCACCCCTCCTGGATCCTTATACTCATTCTATAATAACGGTTTTATACAATATTTATCCTTATGGGACTGAGTTAGTTCACTCAGCATAATGCTCTTCAGTCCCTCCCAAGTTAGGTAATGATTTACAAAGTTATTGCTCCTGCGTGCCGCATAGTATTTCATCGTGTGAATGTACCATAATTTCTCAATCACCATTACAAGAACATGGAAACAGTTCAAATGTCCAACCACAAATGAATGGATTGAGAAATTATGGTATATTCACACAACAGAATACTCATCGGTTCTTAAAATCTTAACAGCCAAACAACAACAACAACAACAAAAAAAAAAACCCAGTCCACTAAATACTACCTACATCCAGACTTTAAAAAAACGCACCCCAAATCTTCTGCCTTCAAGTCAATTCAACAACAACAACAACAACAAAAAACCCAGTCCACTAAATACTACCTACATCCAGACTTTAAAAAAATGCACCCCAGATCTTCTGCCTTCAAGTCAATTCCAGCTCTTGCTCGGTCTCTCCATCAAGTTTCCAAGGCTCGACTCCTAACATCCTTCTCCTTCAGAGTGGCCGCTAGGTTCAAATTGTTGATCCTTGTTATGTGCCACTGAGTCAACTATGACAAATAGCAACCCTATGAACAATGGCTCTGAACCTTACCCTATCCTGAGTCAACCTCACCACCTCACGGTCACTGTGTCAATCCATGTCAGCAATGGTCTTCCTCTTTTGCACTGACTCTCCAAGCATGATACCTTCTCCAAGGATTGGCTCACCCTGACAAGTATGTGAGGTGGAGTTTCACCATCTTTGCTTCTCAGAAGCATCCTGGTTTCACTTTTCCCAGGACAGACCTGTTTGTTCTCTGGGCAGTCCACAGGATTCTTAATACTCCTCCAGAACCAGAAGTCAAAGGCATTGATTCTTCTACTCTCATGCTTATTCACTGTCTACCTCTCAGGTGTATAGCAAGCAACTGAGAAGACCATGGTTAGGATCAGGGCACCTTAGTCGTTAGACTGACATTGTTATTCTTTATCACTCTGCAGAGGTCGTTGACTGTATGTTCCCCCAATGTCATTTGTCTTTTGATTTCTTGACTGCTGATGCCAAAGGTGCTGATTGTGGATCCAAGTAAGATAAAGTTGTTAACAACTTCAATCCTTTCTCCATCTATCATGATGTTGCCTATTTGCCCAGTGGCAAGATTTTTGTGTACTCCTAAACACTTCGCAAGATTAACTCATTAAATCTTTAAACTTTATGAAGGAAATACATTATTATTTCCAAACTAAATATAGGAAACTGAGATACAGAAAGGCTAAAGAAAATTATGCACTACCTTTAGGGTCATGTTCAAGTCTCAGGTGAACTAGATGCTTGGGAGGGATCACTGGACCAAATGCAATTTAACATTTAAGTGACTCTGACCAACACATTGCAGATGGCAATTACCTATATTAATGCAAGGGTCAAGGTTCAGATCTGTCATTAGTAGGGTCACTATGAGTCAAAGTTGACTCAATGGCAACTAATGACGACAACAACAACAATATGCTGTTGTTACTTGGTCACGTCATTTAAGTATCATAGAAATATTCTTTCAGGAGACTGTATTTATCCACTGGATTAATTGATTAGAAGCATGTGAGCTTCCTTTTCCCAATGGCATGCAAACACATCGTACTTACCTCCTTCTTTTTCCTCTCCTCTTCTTTTCTCTTTTTCTCTTCTCTTATCTGTGCTAAGCGCTGCTTTTTGCGCTCCAGCTCAGCTTTTAAGTCACTTTTGTCAGACATGTTGGTTTCCTTGGAGGAAAAGAAAGAAGACTGTGACTATGTGAAGCATGTAAATACATACAAGTAACCTCTCTGTATTAGCATGGCAAGGATCCTTCAAAGGAAATCTAGCTGGAAATTTCGACTTGGGCATAACAGGTTGTATATTTGGCCCATGTCAAAAAAAGCAGAGAAAGAGATTAAGTTAGATCTGGCCTACCTCTGTGTGAAATTCTTCCTTAATATATGCACATAAATATTTGAAGAAGGAGGATGTTGTTTTCTATTCTGATCTGAATTAAAAATTTCTTTTAAAATAAACAACATATTTTACATACAAGTTTCTTAAAAAATAAACAAAAAAGAAAGGAATAAAAAATGACCATCATCATGACTTCCAATTTAAATGATAATAGATTAATCATTTCTACACTGAAGAAAGAAAATAGGCTGTCATAACCCTTTAAAGACAAGCCGTGCTCAAATTTCTACACCTTTAATAAACATTCATCAGCTGAGCTTGGGTATATGGCCACTTTATTTTGTCTAACATACCCATCAGGGCAGACAGCCACTGAAGACTTAACATGTTAATCTTTTTTCTGTAAAACTCCTCCTGACTTGTCACAATTAATTTAATCTCCAGAACAACCCTATTTCTATAATATTTGCATTTGCATACTGACTGTAACATTGCCTAAGCTGGCACTTTCCCTTTTCAAAGCACAGTCTGTGAACACATGAAACAGAGATAATGCTATAGCAAGTTCTTGGAAAAATTTATTCAAAGAAGACTTAATATTAATGGGGATCCTGGCACTGGTAATGGTTGTGCCAGAAATATTATCAAATAAAATTAGTTTGGAGCAGGCTCTGATTGTACATGACAGTATTGGTTTCTGCTGTGTCCCCAAGTGAAAATTAAGAAAACAGAAACCTTGAGAAATGAAGGGCTCAACTATTTCAATAACCTATTCATAAATGTCATGAGTATTCATTTGCAAATTATTTGTTTTGTAACAATGATCTACTTAGGGTGCTGTGGTGACCTAGCTAGCAGGGAGTTGTGCTGCCAACCCAAAGGCAGGTGGGGGGGGTTCGGTTCCTGCAGCTCCTCTCAGGGGGAAAGATGGACAATTTCCTCTTGTGCCTTTTACAGCTTCAAAAACCAGTTGGACAGGGAAATATCAGTCAGTTTCAGTTCAACAACATTGAGTTGGAGGGTTTTTTTGATGATCAATATATAACATCTCCCAATGCAGATGATCAAAGTTTGCAAAACAATCCTGAAATTTCAAATAATTGCAGGTCCTCGATCACTTGACTTATTTCAAACGAAGAAATACATTTAGAATATAAACCATCTTCTCCTCTATTCATTCCTGCTTACAGTGTAACTATAAAGACATAAAATAAAAACAGTGATAATTACAATAATGAATCTCTACTCAGGCCCTGTCTTTACTTTTCAACAAAAATCTGCTGAATGTGTATTCTTTGCTAGGTACTTTATAAAGAAAAGAGGTTCAAAAATGGGTTCTGCTGGTGCTGTAGTTAAGGCTACTAACTAAAAAAATCAGAGTTTCAAACCAACTAGACATTTCCTAGGGAGAGTTCTGGTGGCCTCATGGCAAGGAGCTGCACTGTGATCCTGAAGGAATGTGGTTTGAGGCCACCAGCTGCTCCACAGGAGAAGGATTGGAAATTTCTTCCCAAGCGATTAACTGTCTCTGAAAACCCCCTGGAGGGTCAGCTATGGGTCCATTTTTACTCTATTGTACACAACAACAACAACTGTACTAAGTGCCAAACAAGCTATATTCATTTTGACGTTATTCACAATATTCAAAAGACCACTATTAAGCCTTTTTCATAATTAAGACAAAAATGACTCCGCAAGACTTAAGGCTAAACAGCCGACACATGGCAGAATCTAAATTTCTAAATTCAAGTACATCCACGCTCTGAACTACTATTCATTGTTAATCCCCAATGTACAAGCTCACAGGAAATTAAGAACAAAATAATAGTACTGATCCAACGGCAAACACTAGGGTGAACTTTGAGGAGGAGATGAAATTTGAACTGGCTCTTGAATGAGGTCAGAACCTGGCAAAGAAAAGATATGGACCTATAAAGGACTGCAGAAGAGAGCATCAGCAGGTTGATTATAAAAGATGTGGAAGAATTCAAGGCAAGAAATGTCAAGTTTAGCTGTTAAGAATGAATGTGTGGAAGTTGGCTTGTAAAGCCTTGGAAACATCAGATGACTATATAGACAGGTTTTAGAGAATGTGAATTAGGAATAACATAGCCAAGGAGGATTAAGTTACTCTGTTTAGCTTTTACAAATGGAAGCCAAAGAGAAAGATTTGGTAACAATGCAAATACGAAAGAACAAAGAAAAATGGAAGTGAAATTTGGAAGAAGAGATAAAAAAGAAAATAAAAAAAATACTTTCATTATGTAGTATTTCAGGTGTCAATAAGCCTTCTGAGCAGAAACACTATTACCGAGCAGATAAGGAGCTCCGTAACAGGGTTTGAAGTCTGCACACAGTCTCAAAGCTCATTGCCTTTGAGCCAGAACCAATGAAAGCTGACGCTCCTGAAGGTTTTTGAGGCTATAAACCTCACAGGAAGAGACTGCCCATCTCTCTCCTGTATCTAAATACAACAGGACTGTCTAAACCTGAGTGAGCCACAAAGTCAAAGTGCTATGGGAACCAGACAACAACATGAGGGAGTGCAGCAACTATTACCGCTAGGCAGAGAGGAAACGCGCTGCTGAAAGGAGGAGGTTCAAACCAGCCCCACCTGATTGTCGAGAGGGTCATATGGACCATGTTATTAGAACTTCTGATTTTTTTTCTTTTAAAAGAAAAGCTATCAAACCAACTAAAATGAAGTTTATCACTAAAATGCTATTTGCCAATAATTTTCAACACCAATGGGTAAGACAACTGGCTGGAGAGAACGAGAACTTCATTCTGGATGCCATCTAAGAAGTTGTGTAAACTCTTGCCCAGTGTGGTCCAACCCATTTTGCACTTTAGTCTGTTTGAGGTTTTTTTGCTCTAAAAATGAAATATGAGCAATGGCTGGAGACTTAAAAGCTTGTGAAAAGCCATTTAAAGTGCAACCATTGGTCTCTGTCTGGAGCAACAAATAAAGAAGAAAATTCAAGACACCAGTAGAAAATTCCATGCCACCAACAGATATACAGATCCTTACTCTCTGCTGCCCTGAGACGAGAAGAACTAGCTGGTGCCCAGCTACCAGTACCAGCCAATCCGAAAGAGATCACAGAGAACATCCTGGGTCAAGTGGGAGTTAAATGTTGAAACAAAGCACAATAATGGTCAGGTTTACGGGATTTATAGAGACTGACACAGACAAGACTGTGGTCTTTATTTTTATTTTTTTTATTTTACTATTATTTTAACAAAAGTTTACAGAAATGTTGGATTTTCATTTAGTCACTGTTGCACATTTTTCTCCCTGCCAATCCAGTTGATTGAAGAAAAACCAAAAAATTCACTCACTGTTGCATAATTTCTTCCCTCCTCAAACCCCTCTCCAAGTCCACTTTGCTATGCACCTCTTATTCTGGACTGTTGTCATACGAATAATGTGTAATCATATATTCCTTTGAAACAGTTCTTTCCTTCACCTATTCTAATGCAGCTCGCTCTTTAGCTGCCCAAATGGAACCAAATGCCTTCCTGTGGCACAAGTCAACCAGAAATAGACATAATAGGTGAAAAAAACCCCAACCAACCCACAAACCCACCAGGGATATATTTATGCTTAGACCACTCAACCACACAATGTCATAGGGCATCATTTGTCCAGCAATAAAACTCAAATGATAAGAAGTGAGAGAATGGAAGACACAAGAACTACAGAGAGATGGTGTGAATAGTGATAATAAAATGTAGCAGTTATAATAAATGTCTAAAAGAAAGTATGCATGACTGGTTGGACAGAATGTCAATCCACTCTGTAAAGTTTCATTCAAATAACAAAATGGTTTTGAGGTGTTATTTTTTGTTTTGTTTGGTATTTTTTTTTGTGGGTTTGTATTTTTTTTTAAGGAATAAAACAAACCTTTAAATGGAACAACTTAAATTTATTCAAATGTTAATAACATGCCAATATCTTCACAGCAACATTTAAATTAGTGTTTTCACTATACAATGAGACACCATGGCCAAGTTAACAAACTAATCCAACACAATGGGTTAAAATAAAATGAAGTGTATTATTTTAAAAAAATCACTTTTAAAGTAAGGATGGTGTTATTTTATGTTAAAGGCAATTCAACATAATGCCAACTTCTTGGAAAACTCAACTTCCTTTCTCCCTTACATTACTCCAACGTTTATCTACCTTACCCTAGTTTGTCAAAGTGTCTTCCAGGATTTCAGTTATACATCATAGTTTTTAAGGAGCTAAACATGCAATGAGAACATCCTGTATGTACTGTGATTTTCTTACAAAGAAAATTTTGGAAGTGGGCAGTAAGCATATTCTTAGCAGATCTCAGCAAAGGGCAAAGGGTTTCTTACAACTGCAACTCATAAGTATATCTTGATAATTTTGATCATTCAAGGTGATATAGTCCATCACAGAGCCACTATTTAAAAAAAAACCCAACCAACCAACCCAGCAATAACGCAGAACTTTTTTTAAACGATGATAATAAGTAGTGACATATCAAAGAATATGCATCACTTTTTAAAATTTAGTAGAGAGGCAAGAAGCTTTGCTGCAATCCCAAAGGCACATGGGTTGAGGGCACCAGCCGCTCCGTGGGAGGAGGATGGGCAACCTCCTCCTGTGCGAAACTGAAAACTCGCCGGAGGGTCAGCTCTGGGTCGGTTCTGACTCTATGGTACACAACAACACCAACATTTAATAGGAGCTCTAATGGCTTAGGCCACAGGGTGTTGGGCTGCTGGCCTACACTAATCCTCGCTGATGGTTCAAATCCACCTGTGGCTCAGTGGGAGAATGATGGGCAATTTA